TTCCCTTGCTGCTCATGGGCACAAAAGCCCCTGATGAAGTGCCTGGTCTTCTTGGGTTGCTTTGAAAGCATTTTTGGTTTTGTCTGTCCTTCCATCCACCTTTTTCCCATTCATGTTGTAATTAGAAGCACTGCATGCCTCAGTGCTGGCTGGGACACTGAAAACACGCTCCGATGTTGAGTTTGGGAGGTGGCTGCACCAGGTTTTGCTAGACCAGGAGCTCTGCTGGAGCAGGCAGCGATGGTACCCATCCAAGCTGTAGGCTGGCAGCAGCAAGTTCAAAATCTCCCAGCTGCTGGGAGCCTGCCTCCACCTACTAGTGTGGGACTTAAAGGCTGCTTTTGAGGGAGCAAAGAAGACACTCAAAACCAAAGACTTGGTGTCAGCACATCTTAGAGGCTGCTGCCTCATACATGCATGTGTCCAGTCCTCACTATGTCCCACCACAACCCATATGGGGTCAGGGGAGGTGGAAGGTACCTCCCTCCCAATTCGCACCATGGGACTGGATTGGCAGTGGGTGCTTTGTTGCATCAGCCCTCACTGTTGGGGTCTTGACCCCCATCCAGGAGGACCAGGGGACACCTGGAGAGGCTGGGGACATGGCTGTGTACCTCAAAGTCCTCCTGACTGTGGGATCGAGCTAGTTTGGGGTCATGGGATTACCTGGCGTGATGATTTCTTTTCCTTTTGCTTGGTTTGTGATCCAAAGTGCACTTTTTAACAACAACCTGATCCCCTCCCTTCTTCTCCCCTTCACTTTTCATGCTTAAAGAAGACCCGTTTGTCACTTTCTCAAAGTTTTCTCTTTACTAATATTTCCAAGGTAAATGGCTGTGGTGCATGTGGCTTTTCCTAACCCTCCTCCTGTCTCCTTAGATAACAGAGAGAACAGCTCAGCCTCCTCTGCCTCGTAGCCTGGCCAAGATTCCTGGTGCTTGTAAGAGGCAGTTTAGGTAGTAAAAGCAAAAAGGAAAAAAGAAAAAAAAAGTTGAGAAACCTTCCTAGCTGTTTCCTAGTCCTTTTTTCCCCACCTCGTTTTGTGTAGTTTTGTGGATTGGGAAACGTCCTTGTTGTGATCATCTCCCCTTGGGTTTCTCCTCTAGTGGATGCTCTCCTCCAGCCACTGCCCCCGGAGCTGGTTCTGCTTGTGTTTAGCTGGTTGTCTCTGGTTTTGTGGTCCTCACCGTGCACTGGTGGGTGCCTGTTGTTGCCACCCTGCACCAGGGCTGTGTCCAAAGCAGCTCTAGGGCCTGTGAAACCTTGTGGGGTGTCATCGGGGGAGCGGGTCCTCCTGCCATACTGCTGCTGGCAGCTGGTGCCCATGCCGGCTCCTTGGCACAGCCGGCAGGAGCTGCATCTTCTTGGTAGTGCCAAGGGTGGACAAAGAGTGACCTCCTAGGTAGGCAGGGGGGGACACTGCCCACCCTCAAGGGGAGCAAGAAAGATATGTTTAATTGGGCTCTTTGAATGAACACCGTGGTCCCCTGTCACCTTGTCTTGCATGGACCAAAGAGCATCTTCAGAAGTACAGAGTGGGTGGAGTGGCCGGGTTGCCTTGTTTTTAGCTTAGTTTTTAGGGGTGTCTCTGCCAAATTCCCACCCTGTCGTTAAAGGTAGGCGATGCTTGAGGGGAGGGGTGTGGGTAACAAGTCAGCGCATCCTCCCCCACCTCTCCTTGGGTGGACAGTGTCCTCTCCTCTGTGGTGGATGCTTTCGTAGTGACCCGTGCCGTGGCTTTCTGTTACTCCTCCCATCCCCTTCTTAATGTGCACGTAGCAGATGCTGCCGGGATGGGGCCTAACACAACCCCCAACCTCGGTCCTTCCCTTCTCGTTGCAGAACATGAACAACTCGCAGAAGCCGTCGTGACTCCATTGGTGCTGTCGCGAGGCCACCAGCGACGCCAGCTTCCCATCCCATCGCCATTTCCGAAGCTTGCTTATAAACCGGTCTCCTCCGTTTGTGGCGAGGTCGACTCTCGGCTGTTTCTACCCGCGCCCGTTCATCTGCAAACCGCTCTGCTGAAGGAGATGCGGGAGAGCGGAGGAGAGGAGCCGAGCTCCCCGGGGTCACCACCAGATCTTTAGGCTGCAGCATTTGCTCTCCTCTCCGGCGTCCTGTTAGATCGTAGCAAGCTGTAAAGTGCTTCTAGCGCACAGGAGTTTAATTTTCCTCTGTAAGCGGTTTTGATCTCCTTTTGTATAGATGATTGGTACCCATCCATCTCCGGGTGGGGTGTATATATGTGGATGGTGCGGGGTTAGCAGAGAAATAGGGGGAAGAGGGGGGGAGCAAAGGGGTTTTGCATTTGTTTTTTATTTTTATTATTATTAATTACTTTTCAAGAAAGCCCCTAACGCGCTGTGCTGCAGTCCTTTACCCACGCTACAGTCTGTCGCACACGCACAGCCCAGCTCACCCAGGCATGCGAGCGCCAAGGAGGCAGTTGTGTGAAGTCCTTCACAGCAAGAACTGCTGGGTTTAACAAAAAAAAAAACACCAAAACATTCTATTTTTTTTTTTTTTTTTATCAAACAACCTTTAAAGGGCTTGACAGAAAATGAATAATCACATTATTTACAAGTTAGTTTAATAATATGAATGCCAATTAACCACGTGCTGGTGTATAAAAAATGCTGGGTTTAAAAAAAAAAAAAACCCAAAAAATTTTTTTTTTTTTTTTTTTTTAATCAATACACCTTAAAGGGGTTTGCAGAGAATGTAGATCTGCTTCTAAAACTGGTTGCAAGCTGCCTGTAGTGTAGGGGAAGCTGCACCGATGGCGGCTCAGGTGATGCTTTCATCTCGGGGAACACCTGGGAATGCTCTGAGTTCAGGTGTGTGTCAATTTTTGGGGAGACTGAGCACAGTTGAGATGCTGTGCCGGTACTTCATCTCCCCTTTTCCTTAGAGGAAAGCGGAGATTTTGGTGAGGGTTTAAATCCCCATCACAGGACTTAGCATGTGAGCAGGCTGAGGTAGATGTGTTTTGCAGACACACAGATCTCCTGGAGGTGGCCAGAGGTCTGGCCGGGATGCAGGAGTCCCTGTGTGGCTGCAAAAAGCCACAAGAAGGGACAGTTTTGTCTGTGTTCTCTTTTTTTTTTTTTTATTTCATATATATATACATGCACACACACGTGTGTATATGTGTATACCTAGAAACCGCTTGGTTTTTGCACTTTATTTGTGGCAGGAGCATAACTGTTTTATTTTTCTCAAGTTGTGTCCCTTAACAGGGGAAGCCTGAACACAGGCAACTTTTTTTGTTTTTTTTAATTTTATTTTGCATGCTGGAAAGCTGGAACTACAAAAAAATAGTAGTTACGGCGTTCGAGGTGTGTGTGCGGGGAAAAAGAGGGCGAGGTCCTGACTTAGACTCCATCAGCCAACTCCCAGGGGTTTGATATGCGAGATCCCTTCTTGGCAGCCTGTCCTGGGCTGCGAGACAGTGGTTAAAAATGGCAATTAACCACTATTGCTTTGTACAAAAGTCTGTGGATTTTGAATTTTTTTTTTTTTTTAGGGTTTTGGGTTTGGTTTTTTTCCCCACTTCTATGTACAGCATCTTCTCCATCCCCGTCTCATGCTTTTTGCCTGCATGGCTGAGCTGGAGGCAGGAGGCGAAGGCAGCCAAGCCCTCCTGCAGCACTTGGCTGGGGGATTGGAGATGGGCAGCCCTTTGGTTTCATCCTTCCCATGGCTTTCCCCAACTCCCTGGGTAGGAAACAACATCCCTAGAGATGGGAGCAGGTTTGGGGAGAATTTCTTTTTGTGTGTGTGTGTATTTTTGGGGGGGTTTGGTCTATTTTTCCTTTGGGAAAAGGCGAACCACAGTGCCTAGCGCTTCAGCCTCGTGCAGTCAAAGCGCGTGCTTGGAGCGGCACAGACGGCGGGAGGGGGCTGGGACTGTGCTCGGTCCATATCTGACCAGGGTAGACGGTCTTGGTGGTGCCCTGCCTGTGTGAGCTTGTTCATATGTGTATTATATTCTTGTATAGATGAAACAGAGAACACTTTTCCCCATTTTGTTGTTTTGTTTTTTTTTTTTAAAATAACTGCATTAAAAGCAGACTTCTCCCTGTGTACGCAGTTGACATCTGCGCTTTCAGTTTCTCTGACTTTGAGAAAAAACGAATGTTTTGGGAAGGCAAGTCACTTGCCTTTTCAGCCTCCTTCCTGGGGAGTTTTATCTTTCTCCTCCTGCTACGAGAAGATAAGCCGGCAAATGCAAGCGTGACGTCTGGCTGCCCCGTGATCAATCTTGTAAACATGTAATTCTGCAGATGTTTTGGCACGTATTTGTGTGTGTGTATATACATACATATATATATATATATATAAAAAAATTGAACAGCAAAAAAACTTAATGACCCTAAACTTTTTTCCTTTGGGAATAATAGAAGTCTCAGTAGGCCCTACAAAAAGATGAAATTTCAACCTGGCAGTTTTTCCAGCAAGGGGAAAATTGGTCTCTGAGCAGCGGAGAGGTCCTCTCTTGCCGGAGGGGTTGGTGGTAGGTGGGATGGTGTCAGCCCCGTGCTATCGTGCTGCCCCAGAAACTCTCTGCCCATCGTGTTTTGGGTAACAGAGCCGAGGGCTGGGCAGCGATGCTGCAGCCAAGGCGGTGGGGAGAGGGGACTTGTTGAACCACACCAATGATTACTTCCTTCCCCCCCCCCCCCCCCCTTTTTTTTTTTTTTTTTTTTTTTTTTTTTTTTTTTTTTTTCAAAAAAACGGGGCATTTTATTATTTTTTTTTGATAGTAAAGTGCTCTATTTATTTAATGTATACTGCAAAGCTTGGAGAGAAGGGTAGTTACTTGGGATTTTTTTTTTTATTTGTGGTATGTTAACTGTACTGTATATACGTCTGGAATAATTGCCTGATATAAAGCTGTGCCAGCTTAAAAACAGGGTATGCCTTTCAGAAATTTGTATATTTTGCAGTTGCTGGACCAATAAAATATCTTGTTGAAATACAGACGTGACCTGGTTCTTCCTTGCCTTAGGAATTATGCTCTCGGGCCTGTCTTGCGTGCGGCTTGGTGGCCCCAAGGGTGACCATGTGCCATGCAGTCCTGCCTTGCACATGTGTTCCTGTGCCTCATAAATCCCTCCCAACACCACAGTGGGTTTTCTGAGGATCATCTCCAGGGGAAACCATTTGGATCCCATGGCTTGATCCTTTTTTTTTTCTGGCCACATTACAGCAATTTTAAGGTTTCTGTTACGGTGACTGAAGAGCTGATCAGTGGAGGTGAGGGTGTCATTCCTCCAACCAAGTATTGACACCTACTTAGGGCAAGAAAATACCCCCCATGCTCTACCCACTACATCACTGTTGAGTATAAAGGTATGAGCTGGAGTATGTCCTGCCTAGATCATCCAGGCTGCAAGTTAGGCAGGACTAGCCATTTCTTCAAACCTGGCACAGTTCTTGAAACCAAATACCTGCTTAAAATGATTTGGTGCTAAATGAAGCCAAAGGGCTGGACAAGAGCTGTCCTCTGAGATCACGGCTGTCTTTGCCCTGAAGGCAGGAAAACGGCAGATGCCACCTGCAAGTGAAGTTGTAAAATTGCCTTCAAAGTTGGTTGGTTTTGGGTTTTTTTGGGGTTTTTTTTTGGTGTTTGTTTGTTTTCCCTGACTCTGAAGGAAAAGAGGGGGAGAGGAGGCAGGGAAAGGTGTAATTTGGTCATGCTCTGGAGCACTTCTTGGGTGGATGCTCCCCATGTGGTTGGAGGCTTATCCCCCTTGAGCAGTTCTGCTTCTGAAAGCTTGTTAGGAGTGAAAGGGGGGAAAAAAGATGTGGACCACTGTGTATTCAGTGCCCAGCTCTGTGGTTACCTGCTGCTGGCTGATGCACAGCCCTTGCTCTGATCTTCCCTGGGCTTTCAGAGCAGGTTGAGCCTTGCTTTGGGTTGGGGCTTGCTGTGATGCAGCCGGGATGCACAGGGGCCGTCTGCCTTCTCCCTTCTCCTGATTGCTCTGTGTGACAGGACCCCTCACCTGGAAGAGGGGGCTCTGATTTTGAGTTTGGTTGGGGCACCTGCAATAATTTATTTTTAGGTGTGCATGCAGACTATGCGAGGCTTTAGGGTGATGCTCATCCCTGCAAGCATCCTGGGGGCAGGGATGACCTGTGCTCTCCGGGAAAGCCAGAAACCACAAGATTTTTTTTTTTTTTTTTTTTTTAAATCCCCAGCATCCTCGCCATCTCCTTGACCCAAGCAGAGACGAAACGCTCCTGCCTTATTTTAGGGCAGGGAGCACAGCCTTGCAGAGCATGCCACAAGGATGCGGGGGCTTCGATAACGCTGCCAATCACGGTGGGCTGAGATTACGTGTAGCCACAACAGCGGTCCTGCTCCCCTGCCTTCCCTGGGTGGGCAGGGGCTGTTTTGAAGCTGTGATAACCTTGTCCTTGCGGGGGGGAGCACAGGGGGAAAGCTTTGCCTCCTGGAGCGTGGCTGCGGGCAGCGTTTTCAAGGCTGCCCTGCAAGAAAACACCAGCTCCAAAAAGCCTTTTCTTCTCTTTCTGCATACAGGGGGAACGATGGGGTTTGTGTCATGCGTCCGTGCAGGACCGCCATGCAAGGGAGGGGGTTCATGGGCCAATGCCATCCCAGGCAGCATCCTTTATTTTTCTTCCATGTGATGCATTTTCTAGCATCACGGAGAGGAGACATTCCTCGAGGCAGGGCGGCTTTAAAGGTTACACTTGACAGCGGGAACATTTCTCTGCTTCCAGTAGAGTCCCATCTTCATTAAAAAAAAAAAAAAAACTCCAGCTCACTGCTGGCAAACAAGGCTAGAGAACTTGTGATTGCTAAAAAAAAAAATAAAAAAGGACAGACCAGTCACGCTGGCTGACTCAGCTCTGATTGATGGCTCAGGAATGTGTCTGATACGTGCAAGGGATTAAATAAACCATGGGCAAACCTTTACAGCGCGACATGTTGGATGAAGCGCAGCCGGCACCCCTCTCACCTCCCTCCGGCTGGGGAGTGACTGCCATCACGTCATGGGGTTTGAGGGGTGTTCTTTTTTTTTTTCCCCACCTGCGAGAAAAAATAAAAAGAAATGGATATTTTGGGGGGGTTGCTTTGCAGGGGGAAACAACTTGCTGCTTGTGGCTCTAATGGGAATTACTTGCAACAGTTCCAGGTATCTAAATGCATTTGTGCACTTTTGCTACAACAAAGACCTCTTGGGAAGGC